GGGCACTTGTAGGGGAGTCGTGCTGGGCACGTGACATAGAACATAGAGCACAGATCACATGTTAGCTCTGTGTCACCTGCTGTCACTGATGAGCTGCCAATGAGCTTGTAGGGGAGTCGTGCTGGACGCATGACATAGAACATAGAACACAGATCGCGTGTTAGCTCCGTGCCACCTGCTGTCACTGATGAGCTGTGCCGCGGGGCACTTGTAGGGGAGTCGTGCTGGGCGCATGACGTAGAACACAGAACACAGATCACGTGTTAGTTCTGTGTCACCTGTGAGGTGAGGCCTCTCCTTCTAGGAGGCAGGGGTGGGGAGGGCCGAAACGATGCTCGGCTTGCGGCCTTCCTCTTCCTGGATGGGCAGGGACTGAGTGCAGTGTGTAGCTGGAGAGCCACTTGCCGGTGAGGAGGGGGTTGGCTGGGCGGGGAGCGCTCCGGGGGGTGGGGGTGAGCACCTGCCCCGCCCCCACCTGCTGCAGACACCGGACTCCGTCCCCCGCCCCCTGCAGGGCACCAGCGCCTGTCAGTGACCAGCCTGCTCGTCTGCCATGGCCTGCTCATGGTCGGCACCAGCCTGGGCTTCGTGGTGGCCCTGCCCGTGCCTCGTCTGCAGGGGATCCCCAAAGTGACCGGTGAGTGGACCCCTCCGCACGCACCATCCCATCCCGTCAGCTCGCTGAGCCCGTCTGCCTCCTTGCGCTTTTGCAGCCGGGGGGGGGAGGGTCTGCTTAAACCGTGTAGATTATCTGGGGTTCTTTTTTCCCTTCTTTTCTGGCATACTCTGGACTGTCTGCTAATTGGGATCAATTCCTGCTTTTGTTTTTCTGCTGCTTCTGTTAGTGGCCCAGGGAGAATCTTTCCCCCCAAACACGTTTTCGTGTTACCTTTACTGCCACCTGTTAGTTTCTGTCGTTTTTGTATGGTTTTGCTCAGTGGGAGTGGATGCTTTTTATATTTTATGTGGCCAAGAAGGAAGCCCAGCCTCTGGACAACGTGAGGTGTGCTTTTTTGCACAGCGTTGCTAGGAGTTCAAATGGGTACAGGATTTTCAGGACGCAATTTGGCATTTTAGATCACAAGCCTGAAAAGGCTTGTGTGTCTGGATTCAGGATTTTCCAGTTCAGAAATCTGCCTTGGTAAGCAGCCGAGTCCGTGAACGAAAACAAGATGCAAAAAAGATACTCGATACAACATTCAATTTTTAGTAGCCCGGAATAGGAAACAACTTAAAATTAGGGGGAAAGAGACAGTTGAGAAAATGGTTGCACTGCCATTTTGGTATATGATATAGTCAGTAGAAATGGTGTTTGTGGAGAGCTTTAAATGATACACACAAAACGTCAATTCCATAAGTAAAACCAAGATCTCAAATTTTACGTTGATGATGTAACATCAGCGATGTGGGAAAAACTCCAAGAAGAAAAAGATTTGTAGGAAACTCACCAAAATGTCAATAAAGATTCTGTTTCTATAGTTTTTTCCTACTGACAACTTTAGAGTATTTCATGTGACATCAGATAAAAAGCTTTTTTTCTCCACGGGCTTTAACAGACTTATCTTTCCCTAAGTTCAGGAGCCACCTGTTGGTGCTAAGGATTCCAATTTTGTTGATTTTTTTTTTTTAAGTTTATTTATTTTTTTGAAAGAGAGCACGAGCAGGGAGGGGCAGAGGGAGAGAGAGAGAATCCCAAGCAGGCTCTGTGCCGTCAGGGCAGAGCCTGATGTGGGGCTTGAACTCCCGAAACTGTGAGATCGTGACCTGAGCCGAAATCAAGAGTCAGACATT